ACTGAGAATTAGGAGGTAGTTGGATGGTGCTTTTTTTTACATAGAAGACAATTAAATGAAGAAAGATTGGCTTGAAGGGGAAGTTATTTAATTTGTGTTTCTTTAGATGGTAAATATAATGCCTACTCATTAATTCCTACTTTCCTCCTTCACATAATTGCAGATTTGGTTCGAATGCCTTTTTGGTCATTTTAAAAATTTTACTTCTAGGAAACTGAATTATGCATCACTTTTGTTGGAGATTATTGGTGTTCAGGCAAAAAAAAAAGAAGAGGTAGAAGTTTTTTTGAGCACTCCGTGTGGGAAGAAGAGAAGCAGAGAGAAGTGCACCTGGAGAACAACATTTCTGAAGGTAGGGAGGCAGTGATGTGCTTTGCAAAGAGCTCTTTATGGGCAGAACTGAAGCCATGTGACCCGGACTTCAGCTAAGGACTTCAGAGTTATGTACAGGGTAATCCCGAAAAGATTTTCAATCACCCAATGACTGTGTCTATGTTAAATATGAGCCCCAAAGAGCAGGTGTGGACATCCTCTGGTGTCACAAAAGCTACCTGTTGTAAGGCATTCTATTCAAATGAACCACAACAAAACCAGCATCTCTTCAAACTTAGGGACAAGAGGGAAGGCCAGCACAGTTTCCTTCTGCAAGGAGCAGAAAGCAGAAACAACCAGGATGACTAATTTAGGATGCATGAGATGTCATTTGATATTCTCTTTATTTCAGCTTGTCATTTTTTTAAGATTTGGTTTTACTGAGCATAAAAACCTATATTCTGTACTTCCTAACATGTGGGAGGCAGCTTTTAAGTGGCTGCCAGGTGCAGCACTAAATTATATTGACTTACATATTAAGAAAGTTATTACTTTTTCTATGCTATGTCAAACCTTCTGTTTAGGTCAAAGGGAAAATCTTGGCTTTGGTGATAATATGCCTAACAGCCCTCTACTGCTTACTAATCTCCTATTTCAACAAACCAAGGGCAGTCCTCAGACAAGAAGTCTCTAGGAGGCAGTGACGCCCAGCTGGAGTTTAATCACATTGGTTTGTTTGTTTGTTTCTCACCGTGTTTGCTCTTAGATTACCTTCTATCTATGACAAATGATCCTGATTTTCTAAAGGATGAAAGGCAGACAGGATCAAATTATCCACTGGTCAGGTCTGCTGCAAATGTGTTCATTTCTGCACTAGGGGTACTGATGTGGAGACATAAGTTGGGAAGAAGCAAGGGCCGGGGCATTAGAGTGAGTCATGTTCAGAGTTTCTCTGCCAGGGCTGGTCCCTATCAGATCTCTGTCTCAAGCAGTGATCTAGTCAGTGCCAAGGTGGATGAGTTGAGAATAGGTACTTGGGACAGAAGGTAAGGGCAGCGGTCCAGGAAGATGTCAGACAAACTGGGAGCCCCTTCCTCAAAGAGAAGCTAGTGGTTGTATCCAGGCTATCAATCCTGCCTCTCCCCTACCCTCAGGCAGACAGCGTGAAAAGAACATACACACCACTCATAAATGGCCTATCCAGACTCCTCAAAAACCAAACTAAGAATCACAAATTGTTTGCACCATGCAACAAAGGCAATACCCCAGGCAACAAAGTGAATGGAGGAAAATAACAAGTTATTGCAAGAAGTAAATTTGATATCAGGCAGAATTAGACATTGCATTCATAAATAAATGCCATACAGAGACTTTTGAAATTAAAATGTTGCTTGATTATAGGAAAACCTTAGTAACTGGCTAAGTAGCAGAATGTATAATTGAAAAGCCTTTTATTACACTGGAAGATGAAGCTTAAGGATTCTCCTCCATGGCCTTATAATTTTTAAAAAGTTATTTAAAAAAGAGATTGCACATCCATTAAACATGTGTAGAACAGTCATAGAAATTGACCATGTGCTGAACCACAAGAACATTTTAAACTTTTCAGTAAGCAGAAATCATACAAATCTTCATCACTGACCACAATGCAGAAATTAATCAATTAATAAAATATTGAAAAAATAACAAAAATTAAATGTAATTTCATTAAAAATGAAAAATAACAAAAGGATAAAATTTTAAATACACTTTTTAATGATTCTTGGATTTAAAATGGCAACAATCACAAGGTATTTTAAAAATGAATAATAATGAAAGCAGCACTATGATGATGATGACAATTATGATGTATATGTGCATATATTTGAAAGAAGTAGCCTTAACTATATTTATAAAAAAATGGGAAAGAGGGCCAGGGATTTAGCTCCGTGGTTTTGCCACCTGGTGCGCAAGCGCAAGGACGCGAGTTTGATCCCTGGTACCAAAAAAAAACAAAAACAAAAATGGGAAAGACTGAAAATAATTGAGTTATGTTTTCACTGTAAGAAGCTAGAAATGGAAAATAGAAATAAACCCAAGAAAGGAATTAGTAAACATGAAAACATACATTAAGATCAAAAGCGAAGAGCAGCAGCAAAATGTAGAGTTAGTAAACAGCAGAAGCACATGAACAACATTCAAAATGTCAAGGAATAGGACTCTTTACATCCCTAAAGAGAATAAATTAAAATACTAAACGTTTGAAATCATGCTGAAACAATAATTTCTTCTAAAAATAATATTGATCACAATGAGAAAAGAAGAGAGAAAGAAATAGAAGCACCATATAAACCCATCTTCACAAAATAAATTGAAAAGACATTCGAAGATCTGTACCTGAAAACAGCACCAGTTCCAGGAGCTCCTGTGGCAGGCAGGCTCTGGGTATTTGCAATTCATGTAAGCAGTGTAAGAGGGAAGAGAAGGAGAGGAAGCTGTCTTCAACTCATAGCTAAAATTATGATTGCAGAAACTTAAAAGGCTACAGGTGAAATATTTGCATATCAGATTCTGCATGTATCAAAAGAATAACTCATCATAACCAACTAGAGTTTGTCTCAACAATGCTACATTGGTTCAAGAGTAGGAAATCCATTAACATACTTTTCACATTAACAGATCAGTATAAAAAATTATTTGATTGTCTCAATAAATGCCAGAACATGAATTGCTATAATATCACCCCGTACGTAAACAGAATAAGAACCTATACCACAATCTTAGACTGATTTAATAATCTCAAACTTAGGAAGTTCTAAGTAAGATTCAAAATCTAGAAGCCATTAAATGAAAGATTCATTCTTTCATTGTACATTTAAAAATGGTTAGGGCTGTGCTCATTTTGGCAGCACATATACTAAAATTGGAATGATACAGAGAAGATTATTATGGCCTCTGTGCAAGGATGACACCCAAATTCATATTTTTAAAAATGTGCAGGGCTAAAAATATGGTTGTGTACCACACCCACAAAAGATGTTAAAAACAGGAGAAACTGTGGAGGGGAGGTCTGTGGGGAAAGGGGTATATGGGAATTCAGTACTGTTCATTGAATTCTGCAATTTCGTAAAGTTACTCTAAGAAGACTGGGAATTTAGCTCAGTGGCAGAGGGTTGTCCAGCATGTGGGAAGCCCTGGGTTTGACCCTCAATACACACACACACACACACACACACACACACACACGTGCATGCACACACAAAACTGCTCTAAGAAATAAAGTCCATTAATCTAATATATACATGTAATGTGTGTGTTAAACACGGGAACAAAAATCAACAAGCTAGAAAAATGGAACACATTCGATTCAAAAGGCTTAATACTTTAACATGTACAGGAATCAAACAAATGATTAAAGAACACGACAAACTAATAGAAAAATTAATGAAAGATACAGATAAACAGCTCGCAGTAAAAGAAATATTAATGACTTCTCAGTAATAGCTTTATACATTGAAGGAGATGCAAATTAAAATACAATATCAATGTTAGGCTAACAAATTGGCAAATATAAAGTTTGATGACACATGGGTGTGAGAAAATAAGCCTCTACATCTACTTAGTGAAACTGTCCTCTGGAACATGAGTTCTCTTAGGAAATTTGACAATATGAGCTACAAAAATTGAAAATCCACATATTCTTTAGTTAAGTTTATTTTTATGAGTTTACATGTAGAAATATTCATAGGTGAACACACATGTTTATGTATAATTGTATTTGTTCCAGATTGTTTACAGTAAAAAAAAGACTGGAAACTGCCTAAATGGCCATCCAAAGATTACAAGAACTATAGCACATTCATGTGAGGAAGTATCAGGCAGCCACATTTTGTTCAAAAGTAGATTTGAAAGGGACCAATATGGTAGGACATATTCACACATGTAGTCAGTGCAGGAATGTGAGAAAGCAACAGTGGAATAGTATCTACCATGGTGTTTGTTCAGGGTGTGTGTGTGTGTGTGTGTGTGTGTAAGCAACAAACCAGGAGAATCTATACATACCCACCTTGAGATGAATGCACACAAAAACGTCATGAGTTAGTCCCGGGACAGAAAATGAGGACAGGGAGCTGGGCACCTGAGGAGAAATTTGCTGATTGTCTTTATTTTCTTTGAAAAATTTGCCATGTATATATACTTTAAAATTTCAGGGCAAACAAATCTAGGGAACTAAGACTATAAGAGAACATGCTTAACTAGATAAACAGATAAAAGTTGCCCATCTGAAATCTGCAACAAAAGTTAGGTTTCTTGGTGACACATGGAAAGCAGCTCTCTTGGGCCAGGGGTGCAGCTCAGTGGCACAGCAGTGGCAAGTGTGAGGCCCTGAGTTCGATTCCAGGTACCAAAAAAAAAAAACCCCAAAGAACAGCTCTGATACATTTGGAAATAAGATGTTCTATGCTACTGTTAAAATTGTACCTAGTCCTGTCCAGTGCAATAAGACAGGGGGGGGAGCATAAATGTCAGAAATGATACAAAATTTTCATTTTTGCAAATTGTTTAATTGTGTAAAAATTCACAAAAGAATCACATGGGAAATTATTAGAACTTTTTAATTTTATTAGAATATTAGAAGTTTAGCCAATATAAGCAGTGCAGGAGCAAATAAGAGATTCATATACAGAAATCAACAGTTCTCTTACACAATGGCCAAAATAATCTAAAAGTACAACTTAAAAATATAACATTCAAAATAACCACAAGCTTTTAAAATATGCAGAAATAAGCATTCAAAATATCAAGCCTATCTGAGGAAAATAGTAAACTTTACTGAAGTACATAAAACAGGAATTAATGGGGAGATATACCACAGAATAAAGTCGCTTTTCCCGTAAATTAATATCTAAATTTGGGGAAAATCCTACCAATTGGCAATGGCTTTTTTTTTAACTTGGGGAAGTTATTCAAAAATTCATGTATAGGAAATATATCCAAAAACAAACAAGAAACTTTGGTATAGAATAATGATGATACTGCTCGGTGAATGAGAGGAAACATAAATGGCCACTGCACATGAAAAAAACACTCAACTTCACTAGTAATTATAAAAATGCAAGAGAAGAAATAGCAGAATCATTTGTTTTGTCCTTAAATATTCTTAAACATTCAAAAGATAATGTGAGGGGAGAAAACAGAAACTCACAGATACATTTGGTAGGAGCTTAACAGGCCCACTCTTTCAAAGGCAAGTTGGCTGTGAATGTGACCTGCTGTCCTATCCAGTCCAGCTCTAGGCAGTGTTTGCAAAGTTCACCCCTGAGGGACACACAACATGCACTCATAGAGGTTTGTCTAGCATGTTCACATAGCATTGTGCATGGTCCAAAAGTTATTAACAATTCAAATGCCCACTAACAATAAAATAATTTTTTAAAGTACAGTGCATCCATACTTGATTATATAGTACAGCCAATGAAAAATAAAATCAGTTTATTATACTGATAAAATACACTGTAAAAACTCCAAGATCCTGATTAAATATCAGAAGAAAGTTATAGAATGTTGTATGCTGTGGGCCATAGTTTATGTTTAAATTTTTATATAGTTATGCATATGTGTTATGATTGTAAATGCACAGAATAAAAACAAACAATTGACTTTTGAGAACAGAATAAGGATTAGGTACGTGATGTGATCAAGGGGCCTTTTGATTTCTCTATGTTTGTTTGAAATTTCAAAGTGAAAATGTAACCATATACAATGTATGTAATTTTTAAAGCTCCCCTAAAGGTAAATGCGACAATCTTAAAGGTTTATATATGTGTATAGTTTCACGTATATTTATTTTATAAAGACTGAATGTTTTTCAACCTTATTAAAAATAATAGAAATATTTCAAAGATTAAATGGTAGTGCTGGATCAAAAAACATGTACTTTTAGAATGGAGAGGAAATAGTAATACCACAAACTCATCAAGTGTCTCCCAGGAGGATTAAAGTTCCTGAAGAGAAACAGCCTTTTGTCAATAGCAAACCTTACTTTGGCTTCATACAGCTTTGCTCCGCAGTTTTGAAGGTGTCCCATACCTTGTTATAACATTTTGGAAAACGTCTGAAGTTTGGGACTATCATGGCCTCCTTGTAGACATAGGCTATTTGATTACTTGAAAAGCCATCAAGACAAGAGGGAATGAAGTCACTTGCCCAAAGATTAAAATTTCTAGAAACATGCTGCCCTTTATCTGGGGAGATCTTCTTACGCCCCAGCCCCTGGGAAAGAATCACAAGATTAGCGGAAGAAATATGCAAAGTCACACAGTTTTGAGGTTTTTCACTAAAACCAGCTACAGGATGAATATATGTTTAAATGCACCCTGTGGCAACTTTACAAGAGATCTCCTTTAACAACCTGTTGGATACCATCAATCAATACAACATCCTAGTGGTATCTTGTTACTGTTCTCACACCTTCCTGTGCTACTAGGGGGCTGGACTTTCAGAGACAAGGAAGTTAAAAGAGAGACAGCCCAGCCGGCAACAGCCTGCTAACTGGCCTCAACTCCCATTAGCCAGGTAGGTTCCCTGGATCCCAGTGGCTCCTCAGTGCCCTCCCTGGCTGCCTTCTGAAAACTTGGGTGGGACTGATGGCTTTCTCTCAGAGGCCAGGAGGCTGCCTTCTCTCCAGTGGCTTCCCTGGAGGGTAGCAGGACCTTTGGTCCCTGCCCACAGGCTTGCTTGTTAACTCTTGGCACCTTGCGCATGAACCTGGGAATTATGATGTATTCAAAATCGTACATTTGATTTTATCACAACTAGGTGGAAACCAAGAAAGACACCTAGGATTGAAAGGAAATTGACATTGGATTATTCAGACTGTGCATCAGTGAAATGAGGCTGTCTGTTCATGAGGGCCCAGACCAGTCGGGTTCACAGCAGAACATCAGCAACCCATTTAAATTAGGGTCTTTTGAGAGGTGTTCATAAAAGAACAACGGCCATCCACATCCTTAGGTTCCACAACTATGCACTGAACCAACCTCAGATGCAACTTTTTTTTTTGGTATAGGGGATCGAGCTCAGGACCTTGCACTTGTGAGGCAGGTGGTGGCACCGCTGAGCTAAATCCCCGGCCCGGAAAATATTTTTTAATTGCATCTGTCCTAAATGTGTACAAACTTTTTATTACCTTTATTCTCTAAGCAACACAGTATAACAATTATTTACTTGCACTTACATTGTATGAGATACTATAAAATTCAACTAGAGATGATTTACTGTAGATAGAAATGATGGTGAAGCTTTTAGAGCTTTCAATGATACAGCCACATATGCCATAGGTTCACCACCACTGGTATACTGGGTAGTCTACATAGGATATACACAAATACTATATCATTTATATAAGGGGCTTGAACACCTGATGATTTTTATATCTTTGGAGGTCTTACATCTTATCCCTATGGATTCTGGGGTGGGGACTGTAGTATCCACAAACGTATGGGTAGCATGTAGAGAAACCTACAGGGACCGTGCAGCAGCTCTCATGTAGTCCACACAGATCAGCCTGTGGGACTCAAGAGAGGAGGAAAAGGGAGAGGCAGCTTTGGAAGGACAAACAGAAGATGCTGGACAGGCCTGGGGATTTAGCTCAGTGGTTCCACTGCCTGCCTCACAAGTGCAAGGACCCGAGTTCAATCCCCAGTACCAAAAAAGAAAAAAAGAAATAAGATGCTGGACACACAGTCCAAACACCCTTCTAAAAAGCTTATCAAAGATATTCCAACAAAATGAAAAAGAAATGAAAGAAAAGATAAAGAGAATAAAGAGGGGCAGTTGCAAGGAAAGTAGTAGCAAGTAAAACTTATAATTAAGTCTAAATACTTTCTAAACATATGACTATTAAATGTATTGGAACTTGAAGAATTCACAAAAGAAGGGAGGACAGGGAAAAAAGGAGAGAGAGAGACAGACAGACAGAAAGACAGACAGACAGGCAGACAGACAGACAGGGGAAGCCAGGGCTACTGCTCTGAGCTCCAGGTCAAAGCTCTAGAGTTGGCACCTCCAGGAGCTGGAAGAACACAGCCAGGGACACCAATGCAACAGGCCTGGAAAGGGAAATGTGCAGATAAAGCACCATGAAAGGCTTGTCTAATCCTTGGGGAAAACTGAAGATATTAATTTTTATACACTAATAATAATATGATGCTATAATATCTAGACGTCTTCCAAGAGCCTCATGCACTCAGAGGTGTTTGGATCATGGAACATTATAGCTGATTCGCTGTCTGGTCAGAAGAGCAGATCACTAGAGGTGTGACCTGGAAGAGTGTATCTCCCTCCTTGCTCCTCTCTTCTCTCTCTGCTTCCTGGGTACCATAACATGAGGAACTTTTCTTCCACAGACCCTGCCACTATGACTTCCTGCCTTGGAGCCAGCCAACCATGAACTGAAACCTCTGAAACTGTGAGCCAAAATAAACTTTTCCTCCTTTAAATTGTGGGTGTCAGGTACTGTGTTTCAGTGATGAGAAATCGACTAAGACAGGGGTTAATATACTTCTTCAACATTTGTACTTCAGGGTAACTACTAGTAGAATACCAACGTAAGTCAGAAAGAGAAAATAAATTCAACCAATCTAGCAAAGTCAGGAGAGGGAGGCAAAAGAAAAAAATATGATAAAGATAAATAAGGAACATACAAAGATGGCAGAAATAAAACCAAAAACATAAATAATGTGCATGGGGTAAATTCTTAGGCAAAGAAACAATGAATCTTAGGTTTTTTTAAAAAAAAAAACAACCCATGCAGGGCCAGGGATTTAGCTCAGGGATTTTGCCGCCTGCTGCGTAAGTGCAAGGACCTGAGTTCAATCCCTGGTACCAAATAAATAAATAATAAAATAAAAAATAAACCATGCAGTGGGGCCAGGGATTTAGCTCAGTGGCACCATGCCTGCCTTACAACCCCAAGGTCCTGAGCTTGAACCCCGGTACCAAAACAAACAAACAAAACCCATGCAGTATTCTATTTATTATAGAAGACAAACCCAAACCAAAATGACTAAGAATCATGAAGACAAAGAAATGGACTGATACATTAAGAACAAATGTTAACACAAAGGAAATTGTAGTGGTGATGCTAATAGGGTCAAATTCCTGACTAAAAGTATTAACATATAGAGACATATAGGGACATTTACAGGGACATATAGGGACATATAGGGACATTTCAAGTTGGGTAAAGTGGTTCACACCTGTAATCCCAGCACTCTGAGAGGCTGAGGCAGGAGGATTGCAAGTTCAAGCCAGCCTGGGCAACTTAGTGACTTAGTGAGACCCTGCCTTAATATTGAAAAAAAAATCAACTGAGGAACACCTCATATTGGTAAACAGCAAAAGCCACCAAAGAATAAAATAATGGTGAATTTTTATCTAGAAAGACATAGTATTAGACTATACAAAGTAAAAAATGAAAGGCTTTAAAATGAGACAAAAAACAAGAGAAGCATATGAAAGATTTCAGTATTACAATTAAGTCCTGAATTAACAAAGACCTTTGTAACTAAAGGGGGGAATACATATTCTTCTTTTTTTCTCTTAGCACTGGGAATTGAACTCAGTGTTGCTCTACCACTGAGCTGCATCTCCAGGCCTTTTTATCATTTTATTTTGAGACAAGGACTTGCTAAATCGCCAACACTGGCCTTGAACTGGTAATCTTCCTGCCTCAGCTTCCTGAGTAGCTGAACTACTGGTGTGCACCACCACACCCAGCTGAGACTATATATTCTTCTTAAATACCAATGAAACATTTTTAAATTAATCACATGCAAAGATAATCTCTATAATCAAAAACTTTAAACCACAGATTATGCTCTATAAAACTTAGTATAACCCATACAACTAGACATTAACAACAAATAGCCTAAAAAATTCTAACCATGTAGAAAATTCTAAATAGCTTCTAAATTTTTTCAGTTGAAAAGGAAATTAAAAACAAAATCATAGACTATTTGGAAGCAAATAACTATGAGATCTTAATTAGAAAAACCTTTGAAATGTAGCCAAAGCAATAATCTGAAAAATTTTAACTGTTTCAATAAGTTTATTAATAAAATTACAAGTATTTGAACTAAACATTGAACTGAAAAAGACTTAAATGAATGAAAAAAATAAGTGTTTAAGAAATATTATACTATAAATTTGAAATGAATTAGGTAAATTTTAGGCAAACACATTAGCAAAATCTATACAAAAAGAGATGTGACATTTGAATAGAATAAAAATCAAATGAAAAATGGAGGCTCCTAGGGCAGAGAAGCTCAGCCGGTCCCAGCACCTGGAAGGAAGCTCCCCCGCTGCCATCCCAAGCTCCTAGGGCAGAGAAGGTGAGCTGTGTGGG